AAATCTTGTATAGAACTTGGTTTTTGCAGCTTTTTTTTCGAGATATGAGTATATTAAACATAATTATGAACTTAAAAGCCCTATTCGGCGGGTTCAGTTGTATGGGAGCCAGGTAAAATAATGGACCGATGTAAACCATTTTCAACTGGCTTCGTTTACGGTACCATAAAAGATCATGTGCCAAATTTCATTGAATTATTTCCAAAATTGCGACCTGTAGTTTGATTACAAAGTTTAAAAGCCCTATTCGGGGGTTCAGTTGTATGGGGGCTAGGTGAAATAATGGACCGATGTTAACCATTTTTAATAGACTTTGTCTACGGTACCATAAAAGATCATGTGCCAAATTTCATTGAATTATCTCCAAAATTGCGACGTGTAGTTTAATTACAAAATTTAAAAGCCCTATTCGGGGGTTCAGTTGTATGGGGGCTAGGTGAAATAATGGACCGATGTTAACCACTTTCAATAGGCTTCGTCTACGGTACTATAAAAGATCATGTGCCAAATTTCATTGAATTATCTCCAAAATTGCGACTTGTAGTTTGATTACAAGGTTTACAAGCCCTATTGGGGGGTTCAGTTGTATGGGGGCTAGGTGAAATAATGGAACGATCTTAACCATTTTCAATAGGCTTCGTCCCTGGGACAATAGAAGATCATGTAACAAATTTCATTGAATTATCTTCAAAATTGCGGCCTGTAGTTTGATTACAAGGTTTACATGGACGGACGGACGGACAGACGGACGGACATAGCTAAATCGACTCAGAAAATAATTCTAAGCCGATTGGTATACTGGGTGGGTATAGGACCAATATTATTGTGCGTTACAAACATCAGCACAAACACAATATACCCTCCCCACTGAAGTGGTGTAGAGTATAAACACATTACAAGTAAAACAGAGAAGAAGGTAAAAAAGTATAATTAACAAGTCTGTACCCCAAAGAATAAAGAGATGAGAAGAAGTGACTAATACCCTGACAAAACTTAGTAAACTGCGAGGGTCAAGACCCGTAATATCCCCAATTTTGTCGTGGATCCTATTTCCTAGCCATTTCAGACTGAGACCCTGTATCCTAGGACAGTCCCACTTACTGACAAAGGCTCTAACTGAGCAGTGTCCCGTTGATACATTGCAATCCAATCTACTATTCCAGGACTGGTTTATGATGTCACGTTTTCTTTCGAAAGTCAGCCTGTAATAGTGACAAATGAGTGGTTTTACCATACTTTCTCTGTCATCTATATCAAGGCTCGAACCTAATCTAGCTAGTTCATCCGCAACCTCATTACCAGGCACATTACAGTGTCCCGGCATCCAACACAATCTAATGACAAATAGTCGTAAACTACCCGCACGTCGAGATGCGTGTTCTTGTAATAAATATTCTTTGCTACTGCATACCCATCAAAATTTTACATTGAAAATGAATCACTTATTCATTAGCATATTAACACATTATTTTGATACTCTTTTAATAGGGTCAAATGAGGCCTGATCTTTACTAAATTTATTTGATTTTTGTTGGGATATTGCAAAAGCCCTGTTAGGGGGTATGGTTGCATGGGGGCGAGACGAAGTAATGGACTGATTTCAACAATTTTCAATAGGCTTCGTCCATCGGTCAAAAGAAGTGTGTTAAATGGACACACAGATAGACGGAAGGACGGACAGACGGAGAAAGTGATTCTGAAGCGATTGGTATAATTTAAGGTGGATAGTGTAGGACCAATATTTTTTGGTCTTTAAACATCAGTACAAATGCATAATGAAATCTGTCCCCACTGTAGGGATTAATAATTACAAAAAATTTCATCTGGCATCCCTTTAACATGATCTTTCGAAAATAAAAGAAAATCTGAGAAAAACAAAATCAAAACAGATACAAATCCATAATCTAATTGGTAAAAGAAACTCCAAAAATCTTATCTGAAACTTACCTGATTTTGTACATTTATAAGTAATTGGCCGCAACATGTCTTGAGCAATAAATTTATCAATAGAAATAAAAATAAATTGTATTTCACTCGCAGACGTAATTTCAATGAATTGCGACATTTTTTGCCGGCACTACTGAGCAGACAACAACAAAGTAAATCCAGACATTTTGTTATAGATGTCGATTGTTGGGTTCTTATGGCCGTCGTAGTTGTTGCTGTTGCTGTTCTTAAGGGCAATCGGCCAGAAGAAAACTTTGTAGAGGATGTTGTCGCTGAGGATGATTTCAATTGGAGAATGTCTGTGGTGTCATGAGTACATTTTGTCAAAAGCATTTTTTGTTTAATACAAAAGAAAATCAAAGGAAATATTGATTCTCCAACACAAAAAAAAAACCAAAATAAATTTCGAATAACACAAACTAGACGATGAAAAAAATCTGCATTCAAAAGATACACATTAAAGGCGATTGGAATGTTGTTGTTTTTGTTAAAAATTAGACACGTTTTGGTTTGCGACAAACACAGTCAAAACGCAAATACTAAAATAGAACACGAATAATAACAAAAAAAAAAAAAACACTTCACCTTGAAAATTCCTAAATTCTCGAATAACAAAAGCTTCACTTCACTTGAGTGATGCGATAAACTCTAGAGGGCAACTTATTACAATAGACAAAAAAAATCTGTGTTAAAACCAGACACGCAAATTTTCTTGTTTTTCTCTTTAATTCACTGTTTAAATGGCTGTCTGTTTTCTATTAATTATGGCGTTTTGTTTAACAATTTGTTAAATATATTTTCTTGATTGTGCAGAGATTTTTACGCATTTGCTTTTTTTTTTTTGTTATTTATTTTTAATTTGTATATAAAATTTATAGATTTATTTCTTTTTTTTTTTTGTCACACTATTTCTTCATTAAATCACTGTGCACAACCTTTCAGACCGCCATATTGTAAACGACTGATTAGTGAGAGAGCAAAATGGAACTGTCAAAAAATGTAGTTGTTGTTTTTTTTCGCAAACGATGTTCGAATTTGAAGAAGAATTTTTGTTTATTTCGAAAAATAATAAACAGTTGTTGTTGTTTTTCTTAGAAAATATTGTGCTAACTGAACATATCGCGTAGTCATATGGTAAACAACAAGAGAAATGTCAAAAAACACTGAGAGAAATTAATGTTTATGTGTTAAACTTATCTTTAAACACTCTTAAACGAACTTTTTTTTCGGGATCAGAACAATTTTCTTATAAAATATTTGTTCAGATTCTGAACTATTTTCTTATAGAAAATTTGTTCAGATTCTGAACTATTTTCTTATACAAAATTAGTTTAGATTCTGAAATATTTTCTTATAGAAAATTTTGTTCAGATTCTGAACTATTTTCTTATAGAAAATTTGTTCAGATTCTAAACTATTATCTTAAAGAAAATTTGTTCAGATTCCGAAATATTTTCTTATAGAAAATTTATTCAGATTCTGGACTATTTCCTTATAGAAAATTTGATTAGATTCTGATTTATTTTTTTATAGAAAATTTGTTAAAATTCGAAACTATTTTCTTATAGAAAATTTGTTCAGATTCTGAACTATTTTCTTATTGAAAATTTGTTCAGAATCTGAACTATTTTCTTATAGAAATTTTTTTCAGAATCTGAACTATTTTCTTATAGAAAATTTGTTCAGATTCTGAACTATTTTCTTACTGAAAATTTGTTCAGAATCTGAACTATTTTCTTATAGAAATTTTTTTCAGAATCTGAACTATTTTCTTATAGAAAATTTTTTCAGATTCTGAACTATTTTCTTACTGAAAATTTGTTCAGAATCTGAACTATTTTCTTATAGAAATTTTTTTCAGAATCTGAACTATTTTCTTATAGAAAATTTGTTCAGATTCTGAACTATTTTCTTACTGAAAATTTGTTCAGAATCTGAACTATTTTCTTATAGAAATTTTTTTCAGAATCTGAACTATTTTCTTATAGAAAATTTTTTCAGAATCTAAACTATTTTCTTATAGAAAATTTTTTCAGAATCTGAACTATTTTCTTATAGAAAATTTTTTCAGAATCTGAACTATTTTTTTATTGAAAATTTGTTCAGAATCTGAACTATTTCCTTATAGAAAATTTGTTCAGATTTTGAACAATATTCTTATTGAAAATGTGTTCAGATTCTGATTCTTATTACTATTTCTATTTTCTTATTACTATTTCCTTATAGAAAATTTGTTCAGATTACAAACTGTTTTCTTATAGAAAATTTGATCAGATTCTGAGCCAAATTTTTTTTTTTAAATTTGTTCAGATTCTGAAATTGTGAAAAAATTTTCATAAAGAAATTTTTTTTTTTTTCAGATTAACATTATCCTTGTAATATAAATAAAACAAGTTTTCTTATTTTTTAAATAAAAATAAAATTACGATTTATTTTTACGAAATTAACGCTGACATTTGCACAGATTAATACGAGCACACGATCCACTTTTATGTCCCTGTAGAATACAATGAGCTTTGCAGGCGTAACTATTGCAAGTAAAACGTTTTTGTCTATTTAACTCGAAACCACCGGACTTTTTCTTAAATTCAGTACTTAAATCAGGACTAGAATTCTTTTGAACACCATCTAACGAAGATTCAGCAAAGGCTATAGATGCGATTAGTAAGCAGATTGCAAAAATCCAAATAAACTTCATGGTGGTATTTTATTAAATATTATAAAAAAAAGTTTAAGCTTAACTATTTATTGCTTAGTTGAGAACTAGTACTAGTCTGACGAGATGTGATTTTTATAGGGGGATTTCTTTGGTACACAATGAGTTTTACGTTTCTAAGAATGAATAACATTTTGTTTATTTTCGGTATGAGTATTTTTAATTAATATGAGTTGATAAATTAAGTTAGTCCATGTTAGTTATCAGTGATAATAGAACAAACACATCTTGGGAAAACCCAAAATATACTACTAGATCAATTTATATTTTATAAAAAATAGTTTTTGGTATATGTCCTTCCGACTCGAAGGACCATGAATAATTCGGACATTTTGGCTTTATATTCTTAAAAACCAAATTTATTTACTTTCTAAATATATTTATTTTATAAATAAATTTATACATTTTATATCAAAATCTTATGCTAATTTCTTATTTCTATAAATCTAATGTCGGCATACACAAATTTTCTTCACTGTACAAAAACCACGTTTATATCCTCTCAATAGACAATGAGCCAAACAGAAACTACGATCAATATTACATGTTAAACGTTTTTGTCTATTCAAAACTTTTGTTTCTTGGACACCATCACCACTACGATCATCATATATCACTGGAAAAACTTCGTCCAATTGATTAAGATTTTCTTGAGCTTCCGAGGCTTTTACACCGGTTAGCATGAGAAATGCCAAGCAGATTAGAAAAATTCCTGCCACTTTCATTTTGTGACTACTTTGATACTTTTGCTGTCTTAAGAAAACTGTTTAAGTCATCACAATCCTAGTGTATTTATATTAGTTTTAATATTGCTTAAAACGTGGGGATTTTTTTAATTCCAATTTTTCTTATCTTTTCTAAAAAGGGCATATAATGACACTTTTGCTGTCAATTTACTTGTGAATCAAAAGTTTAAAAATGTGTAATAAGCAAATTATGTTTGTTCAAGTGTTTTTATGGGGGCTTTATTTTATAATTTATAATTGAAAATAGACAATAAAGTTGCAGATATTTCTTGACTTGGGTCACGTTTATAGAATTATTTATGTATGTATGAAGAGGTACTTTTGAATTTCCCCAACAATATTTTTTTTTTGAGGCTTTTCTTTGGAATTTGCTAGTGATTTATAATATATTGTATTTATTTTAAGATACTTGAGTCCAGTGAGTTAATTTCTCGATAACAAATTTTTTAAATTGGAAGCAAATTTTGATAAAATTTCGCCATGAAAATTCAGACTCATAGCAGAGTTACGTTGATTTAAAGAGGCAATCAACTAAACTAATAACTACTAAACTAACTAAATACTTAACTAACTAAATATAACCGAAAGAAGAACTAAAGAAGAACGAAAAGAAAAGAACGAAAGAACGAACGAACAACGAACGAAAAACGAAGAACGAACGAACAACGAACGAACGAACGAACGACGAACGAACGAACGACGACGAACGAACGAACAACGAAACGAACGAACGAACGAACGAACGAACGAACGAACGAACTAACGAACGAACGAACGAACGAACGAACGAACGAACGAAAAACGAACGAACGAACGAGAACGAACGAACGAACGAACGAACGAACGAACGAACGAACGAAACGAACGAACGAACGAACGAACGAACGAACGAACGAACGAACGAACGAACGAACGAAAAAACGAAACGAACGAAACGAACGAACGAACGAACGAACGAACGAACGAACGAACGAACGAAACGAACGAACGAACGAACGAACGAACGAACGAACGAACGAACGAAAGAACGAACGAACGAACGAACGAAACGAACGAACGAACGAAACGAACGAACGAACGAACGAACGAACGAACGAACGAACGAACGAACGAACGAACGAAAACGAACGAACGAACGAACGAACGAACGAAAACGAAGAACGAAGAACGAACGAACGAAACGAACGAACGAAACGAACGAACGAACGAACGAACGAACGAACGAACGAACGAACGAACGAACGAACGAAAGAACGAACGAACGAACGAACGAACGAACGAACGAACGAACGAACGAACGAACGAACGAACGAACGAACGAACGAACGAACGAACGAACGAACGAACGAACGAACGAACGAACGAACGAACGAACGAACGAACTAACGAACGAACGAAAACGAACGAACGAACGAAACGAACGAACGAACGAACGAAACGAACGACGAACGAACGAACGAACGAACGAACGAACGAACGAACGAACGAACGAACGAACGAACGAACGAACGAACGAACGAACGAACGAACGAACGAACGAACGAACGAACGAACGAACGAACGAACGAACGAACGAACGAACGAACGAACGAACGAACGAACGAACGAACGAACGAACTAAACGAAACTAACATAACTAATAAACTAACTAACTAACTAACCTAACTAACTAACTAACTACTAACTAACTAACTAACTAACTAAATAACTAAACTGAAAGAGATAACTAACTAATAACTAAACTAAATAACTAACAACTAACTAACTAACTAACTAACTAACAACGAACTAACTAATTAACTAACTAACTACTAACTACCTACTCACTAAACTAAACTACTAAACTAACTAAAATAACTAACTAACTAACTAACTAACTAACTAATAAACTACTCACTAACTACTAACTAACTAACTAACTAACTACTACATAACTAATACTACTAACTAACTACCCAACTAACTAACTAACTAACTAACTAATTAACTAACTTTTCTGATCGAAAATAATAAATAATAAGCTTGAGATATCGGATCAATTTCTTATATATAGCGAAATTAAGTTAAAATACAATATTTTAACGTAAAATACCCGGTTCACATGATGCAATTATTCGTCATTCACGCTCTCATTCTAAACCCAATTACATACTGAATAACATGATTGGCCATACAAAATTTCAGCTGCAAATTAAAACTGAATTACGTACGAATTACAAATGAATAAGTGTCATCTCTAATTTTTATCGGGTATTTATCATAATCAGCTGTTTGTTTTCATTAGTTGGGGACAAATAAATGGCAAAATAATGAATGAAAAAAAAAAACAACTGTCAAAACGAATTACGAATGTGTCATAAAAACGGGTCAATTGGCTATCGTCATTCAGAGACCGAAATAAGTTATTCGACTGCTCGTGAGATGAAATTCATTTTTAAAATCGAATCGATTTGAAAACGACAAAATCGATTTTTTGTATTAGTTAACATTAAATTTCTGCAGGTTTTCATACAATTTGTCACATTTTTAATTAATTCTCTTAAATAGAAAGTAATTCTCTTGCGAAAATAGTATTTCGCAAGAAAATAATAAACCATTTCTCGATCGAAATTCATCACATCTTTTCAAATCGCTCGAATTCCATCACATACCGGATTATTCGATTATTTTGAGGGTAAATGCCTTTTGAGGTTAACCGCCGCCAAAGTTTTTAAATGCGTTTATTTGAGAAAAATATTTTTTTAATTTGATTTTTTTTTTAATAATAAAAATCTAACGACTTCTCCCATAGTGTGTAGGCACCTTAAGTAAATATCTCGATTAAATTGGTTTTGAAAAACTTATTTTATTTTATTTATTTTGAATCAAATAATTAATTTATCTGCGACATGTGCAAACTTTTTGTCGTGAACAATAACTACGACGATATCCCTTAATTCTACAATGTGTGGCACATAATGCAGGATTAATTTGGCAGGTCAAACGTTTTTGTCTATTCAAAGTTAATCCTTCGTTGTCAACACCATATCCCTCCAATAGTCCTTCATCCAATTGATTTAAAGTTTCTGCAGCCCGGCAGGAATTTATAGTGGCAAGCAAGAGCAAGGCAAAGCTGATTAGGAAAATTCCCAGCAATTTCATTGTAACAATTTTAAATTTTCTTTTGTTGGTTTTTAAAATGTTTACTATACTGATGTTAACCGAAACGCAGACAGTGTATTTATAGTAAATTTTAATTTGTAGGAGATATAAATTTGGCTGGGTGTTTATGAAATATAGGGGGAATTTTTTTTCTTAATATTTTATTTAAAAAAGGGTCTAAATATTATTTTTTTACTGCGGAAAATTCTGCGAAACTTAATAATGACTTATTTAAAAAAAAACAACAATAACAAATTTTTATTAGGAAAGTAGTAAATAAAAAAATAATTATGTATGTTCTGACTTTCACAACATTTCAAATTCACATGAAATCAAGATTTCACACGAAATTATAAATGTGATGTTCCCGTTTTCACTTGGTTTCAAATTTAGTTTTACAACAAGTTTAACACCTGTCAAAGAAAATGTTTGTCGAAACACATGATCGTAATCACGTAGCATTTGGAAGATTGTTGGATGATTAATCAGTAAACTGAGTAATTTTTAACTGATGACCTTTGTCTTTTTGATGACCTAAAAGTGATTAATAAGTTGAGCGCTTAAAAAATGATTCAAAAATTATCCCGATACGGTGTGATTGAAAACTGACTATTTGAAAAACAATAACAAAATGTATAGCAATCATAAATTGATCATCCTGGTGTTTAAAAGTGATGATGGTTTTAAAAACTTATTTTGTGATCATATTTCAAGCAGTTGGAAGATCTAAAACTGTTTCTTGTGTAATTGTTATTGTTTACAATGGAACAGCAACACTTACACTTAAAAATTCGTTAAAAACGATTCAAAAATGAGTCGAAACTGATTAGAAAGGAGGCTCAGAAAAGACCCTTTTAGAAGAGTTGGCAACAAATTTTGTGTGGCCTAAAATGGGTTGATATAATTCTCATTTCGTTTATAAAATTGAATGTATAAGTATTTCAATTTGTGTGATATTTATAAAGTTCTGTCAAGGAATGTGAAATAATCCGGTATGTGAAGGAATTCGAGCGATTTGAAAAGGTGTGATGAATTTCGGTCGAAGAATTGTGCTTTAACTATAATAATTTTATATGTTTTATGATCTTCTACGGAAGATAGTTGGGTGAATAATCACTAAACTAAGTCTAAATAATTCCAATTAATGTTTAAAATCTGATTTATTTGAAAAACAATAACAAAGTGTACAGCAATCACAAATGTGTCTTCCAGGTGTTAGAAATATGATTGTTTATACATTTATTTTCTAGTTACATTTCCCGCAGGCGGAAGATCAAAAAACTGTTTTCTGTTGAATTGTATTTGTCTATAACAAACATAAAAATTACTCAAAAAAGACTCAAAATGACTATAAAATGATTAAAAAATATCAGTAAAACAACCAGTAAGTCGGTTCATTAATGACCCAAAAAAATATAAAAAAATGAGTCAGAACTGATCAGAAATAGGACTCATGTATTAGGCTAATCGAAATAAATAAAGAAACATCTTAAAGTTTTTCTTAGACCCCACTTTTTTACATTAAGGTTTTAGCAGTAAAAATTATAAAAAAACTAAAACAGATTATATTTATATAATATCTCTTATTTTATTAAAATAATATTTGTTTTATTCTAAATTAATTAATTTAACAATATATGATTGTATGATTTAAACATTCATTTTATATTATCTGCGACATGTGCAAATTCCCTTTCTCGAACAGTAACCGTCAGGATATCCTCTAACTCTACAATGTACCACACATAATGCAGAACTAAATGAACAGGTTCCACGTTTTTGTCTATTTAAAATTAAGACTCCATTATCAGCATTATATGTTTCCCGTAGTCCTTCATTTAACTGATTTAAACTTTCATCAGCTTCTGTAGATTTTATAGCGCTCAGCATTAGGCAGGTAAAGCAGAGTACAAAAATTCCCAAAAATTTCATTTTAAAAAATTTTAATTTTATTCTTTTGTTAGTTATAAAACTTTGACAATACTGTTCGTATAATGGTTCAGGGAGAATGTATTTATACTAAACTTTGGTAATAGGGGATTTTTGTTTTTGTGAGATTTCTTATCATTACAAACAATGGACCATATATGATTATTTAAAGAAAAACATAAATAATACTGATTGATAATTTACCAAAAATGTATAATTATTATTTAGTCTTGCAATAATAAAACAGACAAGGTGGTATTATCGCTTGCTAGTGGGGTTTTCCAAAATTTTTAAAGAACTAATCAGTGGCATCATGTACTATTGTTTAAACATTTATGTTCTGGTAGAATGAATAATAGGGAAAAGGGGTTTAATGAGAAAAGTTCCAAAATAGTTACGTTTGAATTTCCAAAAATTTGTATATAAAAGCTATAATATTGAAATGATTTTGTGCTACCTTAAGGTACTGGTATGGCTATGTATAAACGGTTGTCATATCTTACAATAATGGCAGATTTGGCAATGTACTGACAATCAAAATTTGCTAGCAACAGGTAAATAGTCTGTTCTGTTTTAAGAAAACCTTACAATTTTATTGCCAGACAATTGTCAGACAATAAATTTATCTGCCAACAAAAATTGTCAGTTCATACTCTTGTCAAATGGTTGTATGACAAAAGTGGCCTCATCTTCTTTTAGCTGCATATGTTCTTTTAATGCAACTTTTTGTCTATAAAAAACATTTATCTGACAATGGTTCCATTGTCAAGCTATATATACACGTTTGTCGAATCTTACAATGTTGGCAGATCTGGTAATGTACTGATATTGATTGTCTGTTCAGACGATTTTAAGAAAACCTTACAATTTCACTGCCCGACAATAAATTTATTTGCCAACAAAAATTGTCAGTTCACACTGTTGTCAGATTTTTATATGGCAAAAGTTGCAACATCCTATTTTAGCTGTATACTATGTTTTTGTTAATGCACCGTGTTGGCAATGGAAAACATTTATCTGACAATAGTTCCATTGTCAAGCTATGTATACACGGTTGTCAGATCTTACAACGTTGGCAGGTTTGGCATTATACTGATACTGAAAAATTGTTAGCAACAGGAAAATTGTCAGTTCAGACGGCTTTAAGAATATCTTAAAATTTCATTGCTAGACAATTGTCAGACAATAAATTTATCTGCCAATAAAAATGTCAGTACACACACTGCTGTCAGATTGTTAAATGGCAAAAGTTGCCGCATTAAAAGAACATATGCAGGTTCTTTTAATGCACCGTGTTGGCAATAGAAAACATTTATCTGACAATAGTTTCATTGTCAAGCAATGTATACAATGTTGGCAGATCTGGTAATGTTCTGACAAAGTAAAATTGTTAGCAACAGGAGTTTACACCGTTGTCAGATTGTTGTATGACAAAAGTTGCCACATCTTATTTTAGCTGTATATGTTCTTTTAATGCACCCTGTTCACACATCTGACACAACTGTCAGACAATTATCTGGCAATGTCAAAGTAATGTGTTTACACGAATCTTAGGTGTTTGACGATATTATTGTTTTACAATATACAGACAATGCTTTTTCTAACAACGTTGTAAGATAAAAATTTGCCAACGTTGTAAGATCTGACAACCGTATATATAGCTTCAGACGTATAAAATTTGCACATCTGATAATAAAAATTGTCAGACAACTATCTGGCAATGACTACGTAATGTGTTTACCCGATTGTTAGATGTCTGACAATATTATTGTTTTTCAATATTCTAACAATGTTGTAAGACAAAAATTGCCAACGATGTAAGATCTGATAACCGTATATATAGCTTCAGATGCATAAAATTCGTACATCTGACAATAAAATTTGTCAGACAGTTATCTGACAATGGCAACGTAATGTGTTTACACGATTGTTATACTGACAATGCATTTCTAACATTGTAAGACAAAAATTGGTTGTTAAAATTTTTTTACATGTATAAAATTCGCATATTTGACAATATACATTGTCAGACATTACTATGGCCATGGCAACCTAATGTGTTTACACGATTATTAGAAATCTGACAATATTATTGTTTTACAATATGCTTTTTCTAACAACATTGTAAGATCTGACAACCGTGTATACATAGGTTCAGGTGTTCACGTAAAGCACTTCGACTTATACATACGAACATATGGTTATTTACATATATAAATTCGATTTGAGTCGTTAATCTAATAAGAATCATTAAATTATTTTTATTTACGCTATTTTTCTAATATTTTCAATAATTATTGAAGAAAATTTTGTATTTTATTTTTTCATAATAAAAAAATCTTTTCATTTAAACTCATATCCATAATTTTCTAACGGTTTTTTTCCTAAGACGACTAAACACATCATTCTTTTCTAAATAACCATCTGGCAGCACTTAATTTTCTATGCAATGACAGCCAACAGCTGTTTAGATTTTCGAACATGCATATGACGTGTACTTGACAGTTGGCAATAATTATTTTCTATAGAAAAACACCAAAAATAATGTTTTCATTCCAGTAAATTAATTAAAATAATTTGATAAATTTGCAATAAAAAAACAAGTGTTTAATAACAATAGAAACGTTTGGAAAGTGGCAAAAGTAAATAAACAATATGCTGACGCTAAGAGAAAGGCAAATAAGTAAGAAAGAAAGTGAAAATTTCCAAAGAAAGAAAAAAAAAACAAGTGACAAATCAAATGTTGAAATAAAGAAATTTTTTTAAGTTTTACTATTTTCTTTAACATAATTAATGAGTATTTATTAATTTTAGATGCTATTAAGCAAATGCTTAATCTAAATGTTCAACAGCCTAAAGTTTTAGCCGCTGAACCTGTTTGGAAAATATTGATCTATGACCGGGTGGGTCAAGATATCATATCGCCCATTATATCGATAAAAGAGTTAAGGGAATTGGGTGTAACTTTGCATGTGTAAGTTTTCTTTTAACAAACCAAATGCGCAAAAAACTAAAACGTTTTAAAATGTTTCATAAATTTGTAGACAACTGCATTCAGATCGTGATTCTATACCCGATGTTCCTGCCATTTACTTTTGTATGCCTACCGATGAAAATTTGGATCGTATACAACAGGATTTT